ACTTCTTCCATCCACATATAGCATGTGATGAAAAGAAAACCTATCCAATAAACTAAGTAATCCAACCATGTCTAGGGTTCCTGAGGCACAGCTTCTTCTTATCCATATGAAATGTCAAAACCAGCAATAAATGTAGAACTCTGGGTGATACTATATGATTCCATTTGTCTAGATGAAGAAGAAAGAAGGATGTGGGAGGAAATCTGGGAAATAGGTGAGCTCAGCATCAGGGGTGGGGAAATACAACAGGAATGGATAGACAGGGGGAAAGAACAAGTGCATAATCACCACATAGGTTCCCAAAAGCCAGAGCTTCTCCAGCATGTGTAGGCTATAAGGTCATCTAGCCCTGGATAAGGATGGGTACACCAAATGTGACAGAAGAAAAGTATGCCCCTCTCTAGGAGTTACAGTCCCTGAGTACCTCCTTCTCAGGAAACACTCACCAGAACTTGGGGAGGGGGATGAGCTTTAGAGATTGGTAATAGGATATTCTTTGATCTGCAGATATATTTATAAGCACTTGGTTAATATTAAGTCAAAAGGAACCCTTAGACAGAGGCAAAGAAGCTCTGCAGAAGAAGAATAACAGAAATGGACACTCATGCCAGGAGTATCTTGTGCATGTAGACTTCAAAAGCAGTCCCTGTCATTCCAATCACACAAGACAAGTTACTTCAAAGGAGGAGAAATGTGCCAAAGATGTTCCCCAGAGGAGGAATCTGGACTTAGTAAGTGGTGTTTAAAGGGATGACACAAATTTGGGTCAAGGGAACAACAGACTTGTGAAACCTAGGACCCAGGGCAAAACTGAACCTTCACCAGTGGAGGGCATCTTTAGCCTGCATTTCTGAGTCAAAGAAGTGAGGGAGGAGTGACAGCAGCAGTTTTTGAGATGCATAAGGAGTTGAGACAGAGGAGTTATGGGCTACAACAGCAGTTATCAACCTATAGGTTGAAACCCCTTTGAGAGTCACATATTATGATTTACATTATTATTATGATTTACACTATTTATGATTTAAAAAGCAAAATTACAGTTATGAAGTAGCAATGAAAATACTTTTATGTTTGGGGGTCACCACAAATGAGGAACTGTATTTAAGGGCCACAACATTAGGAAGCTTGAGAACCACTGGGCTAGGAGCATAGGAGTTGTTGTGGGAATCACAGTGCTTACTGAGCAGTATCTCTATAACAACCATGTAAGAGCTAGATAATGTTAGGCAAAGGAAGGAATGAAGGCTAGTGTTCTAAGAGATGATCTGAGAGTATTGGATGAGTGTCCACTAGGACACTATGAAAACAGTAGTTAAGAACTCAGTCTATAAAGAGAATGTGATATGAGGAGAGGAGTCAGAAACAGATCGTTCCAGGATTGGTAGTAAACTGTCATTTCAAATGAAAATCAAGATAGAGATTTTCTGTGTCTAGGGAAAATACCATGAGATCCTTGCTGGAACCCAGGGAGATGATTCTTCCAAGGCCTATCTGATACTACAGCAGAAAACTAACATTGTACATTAGTGCCAGAGTAGATCAGGTTTCTGCTGTTCAATCTGGGCCCCCAGGAAGTTGTGTTACAGTTTGGATTCCACTCAACATACTCACTACAACATATTTTCAGAGCAGCTGAGAGTCAGGATAGGAAGCCCTTCTGTAGTTCAACCCACTAGAAAATACCTACTTCAACCACTTGGTTCCTTGGGCAAGTTCCCGCTCTTCAGCATAGCAGAGTACAGGAGAAGGATCAGTCTACATTTAGGGTGTCCTTTTTCATGATATGAAACTGCTCCAAGCATATGTTCAGGGAACAGGAGGTAGTCAGTAGCTACCCAAGGAGTAAGGAATCCAGTACATGAGGCCAGCACAGAAGAGAATCTGGGCCACCAGTGAACTTTAAGGCCCCCAAACACTGTATTAGATTCTCTCCCCTTTGCCTTAGAGAACATAGAACTCAGGATCCCTCCTAAAACCCCCAAGAGAACAGCATTCGATTCTTAGGTGGGTTCCATGATCCTAATACAGGAAGCAAGGAGATCATTTCAAAATGCTACCAAAGCTGAGAGACAAAAGTGCCTAAATTCTAGGTACTACATGGGAATGCTATGTCTTAAAGGAATGGGTCAATTAGCACAGAAGCAGGACAGGCGTTGTAAAGCATGAGCCCTGAGAAGTCAAAAGAATCTGAGCTAGTGACATCTATTGAGTCAGAGACAATGGAGTGCATCACATAGGGGGCCTTGATCCACACTGGACAATAAGGATGAAGAGAGATAGGATTGACATTTAGTGTTGAGATACCCAAACAAGATAATCTGAAAGACTAATTGGGGTAGGAGAAAGTATAGCTTAGAAACCTGTGTGCAGAGGATGGCTGGGGTGGAGATATCCAAGAGAAGCTCAGCAGGAGGCTCAGGAAAGAGCTCAGGCAGCAGATAAGACTGCCCTTGGCTGGGGCTAGAGAGATGGCTCAGTGGTTAAGAGCACTGACTGCTCTTCCAGAGGTCCTGAGTTCAATTCTCAGTAACCATATGGTGGCTCACAGCCATCTGTAAAGGTTGCCCTCTTCTGGCGTGTCTGAAGACAGCTACAGTGTACTCATATACATAAAATAAATAAATCTTTTTTTTTTTCTAAAAAAAAGACTGCCCTTGGGTAATAGCCCTAGCAAACTAGAAGAGGACCACATTTTCTTCCAGGGATTGCAGAGGTAGGGACCCAGAGTTGGCTGCCAAATTCACACTTGAAATAAGCCTTAGTAAGATTGGGGCCATTGGTATTTTGGGACACTAGTGCCTGGAGAGGAGGAGGCTGACCTCAAAAATTGAGCCTTATCCTTTAAGATCCAGCCTAAGTACTCCTGGGTCCCAGACAAAAGTTCCTGGTCTTTTTGCAGCATTCATCTATGGTTTCCCCTGGAGATCACCCTCATGATATGGTTAGGTCCCTAAGGCACGCTTTCCTTCTCATTTTGCCTCTCTTACTTAAGGATGTGCTTTACAATCTCCAAGTGCCTCCTTCCAATTCCACCTAGCTACTCTACAAGCCTCTTTGACTATACCTAACAGGTCCCTGCAATGCCTGCCTTGCTCCTCCCAAGTCCCACCCACATCTATCCAACAACACATAGGACACTGCCCACATTCCTGCCTCAGCTCTCATAGTCCTGCTCAGCTCCTCTTCCTGTAGTCCCACTCCAAATGCCTTACCTTATAACCCACAGGTCTGCCCTAAACGTCTTCCTCTCCCATCTGTTCTGCCACTAACAGCCTTACTTTGCTCTTCCAGGAGCCCACTCACTGCCCCAGCTCTACCACAGCACTCACAGGCCCACCTTGCTTCTCCTTTATCTATCTCTGCCTCTAGTTCTAATATCAACACCTTCAGCCCTGCTACTCCATTAGCATCACCCAATATTCGGTTAGAATTCATTGCTCTCTTCCTACTCCCTACGTTACTGCTCCCACTGATTCATCCATGGAGGTGAGCACTCAAAGCCCAGCCCTAGATCAGCAGTCTGAACTTTATTATGACAGTATTCAAAGCTCTACCTCATACTTAACCAATCACCCCCCACTTAAGCATCCATTTCTCTGCTCTTCAGTGGTCCTGCATCATGTTGTATTAATATCCAAAGTTCCACCCCCACTTCATATCTTACCATTGACAACCATCCCCATGACTCTTGAGACACAGCTCACCTAGGTCAGCACTCCCAGCTAAACCCACCACTCCTATTACTTCAGGATAGTCTTGCTCTTCCCTCTCTAGTGATTCTCTGTCATAGTATGTCAGTATTCAAAGGACTCCCTCCCCTTCCATAAATTAATACCTAAGGCCCTTTCCCAGTACTCTGTAAACCCTAAGTGCCCAGGGCAATACTTGCAACACCACCTACCTCCACACACATAGCACTGCCCACCACTTCAACCACAGTGTACCCAGTCCCTCCCACCATTAGACATCAACATACACAGTACTACCCACCACTACTAACCCAGAAAGCAGTGCCCTACCCACCACTCTTATATCATCACAAATGGCCAGACTCCTCCACCCTCACTTCATACATCAATACTCACAGCAGTGCACCCAACCTGCCAGCATACACAATCCGCATTCCTATGTCAGCATACACAGCCATGTCCTATTCCTTCAGTGGCCTTCTAGTACATTATATCAGGATTTAACGCTCAGCCCTGCTGTCACACTCACAATTCACAGTCCTGGCCTGCACTTTAGAGACCTAAGTCAGCACTAACAGCCCCATCCACAACCCATACCCTGGCCCTCATATCTCAAATGGCCCTGTCCTTCTCTTTCAGAGTTTCTGGGCCTTTATTATGCCATTATCCAAATTTCTGTTCCTATTTCATATGTCACCAATCACTGAACCCCCTTCAACCTCTACCTCGTCATACACAGTCCCGCCCATCACGTCTAATTCTGCTCACACGCACTGGCAGGCTCTCCTCCTCCAGTAGCCCTCCAGCAAGAAATGCCAGGATCCAAAGCTCAGCTCTGTCAACATAATCTCACCACACACAGCCCTGGCTGGTACTTTCGAGGCCCTGACCACCTTGCTGAGTACTGACAGTCTGGCCCACCACTTCAGCCTTGCACAGCCTTTCCTTCTCCTTAAGCAGATCTGGGCCAAGTTAAGTTGGGATCCAAAGCTCCGCCCTAGTATCCCGATAGCTCCACCCACGCAGGTCAGCACTCACACCCTGCACAGACTCCAAGCACCCGCAATTCCGATCCCAAGGATTCTTCTGAGCACAAACTCCCATTCCCAACCTCTACCGGGTGCTCACAGCCCCGCCACACCCCAACGCCAAACCTCGGGATCGGGACTTACATAGCTTGGACCTGTACCAATTTCAGGCCCCCCTCAACAAGCCTCTTCCCTCACAGCCCCAACCCCGCCCCTCCTGATGTAATGCATCCTACTCCTACTTCCATGGGTTTTTGCACTCTTCCGACTAAATCCCTCATTCCTTTTCTCATTTCTTCCCCTTCCTAGCCGCCTACTACAGACCCTGACCCAGCTTTATTTGCAAGACTGCTTTAAGAAAACAGTATCTCCTCGCATTCCTTGTGGCTTACTGTTCAATTACGTAAGTCCGTACCTTCATAACCTGGTTGCGTAGTGCCTGTAGTTCTAATTGGCTGCGAATGTTAAGTGGGCGTGGTGTGTGTGCTTACGCGAGATTGTGTGCGTTCGGGCGTGGATACGTTTCTGTATTTGGGCCTCATCTTAAAGTGGTCAGAGTTAAAGTCTCAGAACGCCAGTTACTATTAAGGCAGTAATCAAATGCTTTCCTTTTAGAGCTGACGTTATCCACCCACGCTTAGGAGGAGCCTCTAGTACTGGCGGCCTCCTGGAAACGCTGGAAGACAGAGGATTGGATGTTAACTGGAGTCTGCAGAGTGATAAGTGGTAAAGCTGAGAGACCCACAGCAGGACTCAGAGACCCAAAGGACGCAGGTAACCTGTTAAATCGGAGCCTGCGAGCTTGCCCCCACCCCCCACCCCATTGAGGGCACCCCAGCCTCCCGCTTCCCCGACTGCTGGGCTAGCCCAAGGCCGGTCTTTGCCTGCCCCTTCTTGCCAGCATCTCACTGTCTATCCTAAGTGATGCAGTGTGGATGAAGGCAGATGGAAACTATATATGCTGCTCCAAGGCACTGCTTCTTCCTTACTTTTAGGCTATGAATTCACTGAGACTCCAGACTATGAGGGTGCTGGTCTGTGGCCTTTGGTATTATGCCCATAATGCCATCTAATCTACCAGATGACATTGAAGGCACTGGGATTTGGTAGACCTGAGCATTTCCATGCAGCCACATTCTGTGCGGCATCATTTTCCTCCTGTTAAATTGCATGTTTGATTTCATAATGGGAACCAGTTGCAGGATTAACTTTCTACATCCGGCAGTTCTTGTCCCAAGGCAGAAAAGGACCTTCCCGCTGCCATGATAGCAGAACCAACCTATAAGTGAAATGCACATGTGTGTTGTGTAAGGCCAATTTTTGTTGACCTCCAGCACTTGCTAAGTAGAAGTCTTTACTGTTGCCAGTAGCTAACATAATTAAGTTTTACTTGATGTTTTCTCCTTTATCTACCTTCTGCTTATCCAAATGGAGAAGCAGAAACAAGCCACTGAGGGCAGCTTCTTCATCCACAGAGCAGGTTTATCTGCAGTACCATGAAGAAGGACATTCAGTTGTTTTGGCTACAGGGCAATGAATGAAATGGAAAGCGGGTAGATGTTTAGCATGGCAGCCAGATTACGAAGAATCCTGAGGATTCATCTGAGATGGGTGGATTCTGGGCTGGTTGGAACATGAGCCCTTGGCAGGAATCAATAATCTAGATAGTCTTCCAGACATGCCCACAGGACAATCTGATCTGGAAAGAAAGATTTATGTTAGTTTACAGATTACAGTCCATCATTAGGAGAAGTCAAAGCAGGAATTCAGCCTCTGAGAGCCCCAAAGGTCTACCTTAGTTGACTGTTGGTCTTCCTATGGAGTTCCTATCCCCTTCAGGTCCCACAGTCTTTCTCCCAACTCTTCCATAAGAGTCCCCAAGTTCCATCCACTGTTCAGCTGTGGGTCTCTGTATCTCTCTGAGTCACCTGCTGGGTAGAGCCTCTCAGAGGTCATCCATGCTAGATTTCAATCTGCAAGCATAACAGAGTATCTTTAATAGTGTCGAAAATTGGTGCTTGCTCATGGGATGGTCTCAAGTTGGACCAGTTGTTGGTTGGCCATTCCCTCAGTCTATGCTCTATCCCTATCCCTGCATTTCTTGTAGACAGGATACATTTTGGGTTGAAAGTTTTGTGGGTTGGTTGGTGTCTCCATCCCTCCACTGGGGTTCCTGCCTGGCTACAGGAGCCGGACTCTTCAGGTTCTATATCACCAATGCTGTGAGGTGTCTCCCTTATCCCAGATCTCTCACTCATCCTGGAGATGCACCCCCCACCTCCATAACCCTGTCAGTTGCAGATTTCCATTTATTCTCATGGACATCTGGTCATCTCTCCTGTCACTCCCCACACCTTATCCTGAACACTCCCACTCCTAGGCTCAGAGGATAAGAACAGGACATTATTAATCAGTGTCAGGAAGCATGTCAATTTCAGTGGAGTTTCAGGGCACATGGGAATCATCTGGGGAAGTCAAGACTCAATGGATATGAGCCTGAAGAGCTAGGCTGTAATGTGTTTCTATTTTTAGGCCAAGAGACTCAGAAAAATGAAGTTTCCCTGCCTATCCTTCCGGCAGCCCTACGCTGGTTTAGTCTTAAATGGAGTCAAGACTCTTGAGACACGTTGGCGTCCCCTGTTGAGAAGCCTTCAAAAATGTACCATTGCCATCCACATTGCTCACAAGGACTGGGAAGATGACACATGGCAGGAAGTGCTAGTGGAGAGGTTGGGGATGACCCCAACACAGATTCAGACCTTACTAGAGGCAGGAGAAAAATATGGCAGAGGGGTGATAGCTGGTAAGTGAGGCTGTACTAAATATGATGTAGCTAATCAAACAGGATCCTGCTTGATAGATTGGTGGCACTGTTTAGCTGTTAGCTAGAGGCCATATGCTAAAGTTTCTAAGAAGCCTCTCTAAGGGCTGCCAAAGTCACTTGAATGGGGTGAATAGGCCTGGGTTCCACAGACTCAGTTACCTCTTAACTCTAAGCCTCATGTAGCATTGGACTGTGTGTGTATGAATGCAAAAGGCATGGCCTATGACAGTCAGCATAGACACTGAAAAAGTAGAGCATTATCTAGAGTAAGGCTACCTGCCTGGCTTCTAATGCCTGACATAAGAATCTTAGGTAAGATACCAATGAACATCTAATGCAGTCACCTGCTGACCTAGTTGGGAATCTTATTGACTGTAGGCTTCCTGATGGGGCTGGTTCTTTTTCAGCATGTAAATACCAGCCTTAGTACTATGCTAGAACCTGAATGTTCCTTAATGCAAGACTCACTGAGCATAAGCTACCCTCTTTTTTTTCCCCAAGGCCTGTGGCTATCTCACCCAGGATTCCCTAGTTCAGTGGGTCATATCCCCAGTGTTCAGTGAGAAAAACTTCAATTTCCTATAATTTTGATTATGCCCTGTCATTTGACCCTGCAGTCATAAAGATAACCTTGTTGTATAGAAGAGACTACATCTGTATATTTCTGTCTTTATGCCCAGGACTTGTTGACATTGGAGAGACTTTGCAGTGTCCAGAAACCATAGCTGCTGCTGAGGCTGTGGAACTGGAAACTCAGGCTGTGCTAACCAACCTGCAGCTGAAGTACCTGACTCAAATTTCAAACCCCAGGTGGTTACTGGAGCCCATACCTAGGAAAGGGGGGAAGGATATATTCCAGGTAGACATCCCAGAGCACTTGATCCCACTGGAGAAAGAATGGAGCAGTGAATGCTCTGGAAAACAACTGAATGATGACTCCACCAGTAGACCATCATAGTGTGCACCTTCAAATCTCAATCAGGGTGACTCAAATCCACTCCTACAGAGCACAGCTCTCTAGGTGCTATTCCCAGACTGCTCTGCCCTCATGGAGGGGATGTCAATGAGGACATCCCTCATGCTGTGACTCTGCCAGAAAAGCTACAGAGCCTTGAGAACTTTGGCCATTAGGGAAAAGGAAACCACCCAGGAAATGATACTTTGCTGAAGTTCACTTTAGTCCTGCTGTTTTCTGGATTGCACAAATAAATTTGTCAATGGCTAAGCATTTAGTGTCTCAGCTCCTCTTCTTCTTTCCCATGTCTTTATTGGGAGTCAAAACTCATGCAGTGTATAAACAGCATCCAGGGGTACATGTGACAAGTCTGGGACCAGTCACTGAGTTGACCCCAGTGAACTAAGTCTGTGATGAAGAGGGAATCAAATGGAGAAAACAAACAATGGCCCAACCTTGCTTTTATTCTGTGGAAACAGTCCCTCAAGCAACAAAAACTGGGTGTTACCCAACTACTTTTTACTTAGAAAATCCTAAATATTACTCAGGTAGCATGAAGTTGAAGTTTTAGTATTAAATGTTAGTATTTATCTTTATTTTTATGCTTTTATTATTTCTTTTTCTCACATATAATGTATCTTGACCTCTGCTTCCTGTCCCTGAACTCCTCCAAATTCCCCCAAACACACACCTCACCTCTCTCCCAGATCCACTGCTCCTCTCTTTCTATTCAGAATAAGAGCAGGCTTCCTAGATATATTATCAACCAAACACGACATAACAAGATACAATAAGACAAGGCATTTCCCCTCATATCAAATCTAGGTGACACAATCCAGTAGGAGGAAGAATCCCAAGAGCAAGCAAAAGAGTCAGAGCAAGCCCATACCCCTGAAGATGGGTTATTACACACTTGAAGGACCATTCTAACCATAGCTCAGGGCTTGTCATGGGTAAATAAGTACATAATTCTTGTGCTGTCCTAGGCCTGCTTTTCCCATCCTATTTCTGTCATACTTGGCTGGTCTACTTCAGACTACTCCCTCAGCAGCACCTATTTGATGACAGTCCCTAGGCTGGGAATCCCTGGGCTCCTGGCTCTGTCCCCAAAACCTTCTGTGACCATCTCTGTCCGTGATGTCCCCGTACTTTCCTCACATTGAGGATTTCCCCATCCACCCTGATTCTACTCAGCCTGTTAGTATAACTGTAACCTTTAAGGAACCTGAGAAGATCCTTCCCCACAAGCTATTCCAGCACATCTGGGAGATCAGAAGTACCTGTAAGACCAGGCCTGGCACTGGTACATGTGCTGAGCGTTGGTGGGTTGGCACTGGACTGGGACAATGTACTCACTGATAGATGGATATTAGCAATAAAGTACAGGACACCCATGCTATATTCAACAGAAATAAAGAAACAAAATAACCCAAAAGGGCCCAAGAGCAGACGTTTGACCTTCCTCATGAGGGGAAGTAGTTACTGGAGGTTGAAGGAGGGAGGGAACTGTGAGGGACAGTGTATTGAAAGGGGAGCTGGATGGTGGATCAGATGTAGGGAAAGCACAGGAGAAAGACTAGAGATTGGTCATGTGGGACCAATTCAAATTGCAATTGCAAGGAACTTCCAGAGACCTGGCATGGGGGGAGGCTCCTGGGATCTTTAGTATCAACTTTAGCTGAGACTCCTAGCAGTGAACCATACTGAAGTAGGCACTTCCTGTAGTCAAGAAGAAATCACAGTGGAAGGATAAGGACAGCAACACACCCACAAAACCTTTGACCCAATGTACGTCCTCCCTATGATATATGCAGGGCCAAAGAAGGAGCAGAGACTGAGAGAATGGGCAATCAGTGACTGTCACAAATTGAGATGGGGGAGTGATTGAGGGATCGAAGCAGATAGAGACTCCAGAGGAAGACTCACAGAATCAACTACCTGGACCCTAGTGGCTCCTAGAGCCTGAACTGTTATGAACTATAAAGCAGTATAGGGTTGTCAGCAGGAGAACCCGGCAGGCCCTGTCAAGGATCCCCCTGCGGAATCACACCATGTGACAGGCCAGGTATACAGAAGCTTTACTGAGCAGGAAGTGAATGAGGACCTGGAAAGGGGTAGAGGCAGAGAAGGAGGAAGGGAGAAGGACAGAAAGAGAGGAAGAGAGGCTGGCCAGGAGCACATGAGAACATGAAGGAATCCTGACCCCCACACGCCAGAATAGGCAACAGGTGGGGAACTTAGGCTATTGATGGACAGGGGAGTTTATCTGAATGTAATCCACTTGACTCATGAAAGGTAGGCCTGAGTGAGTTTCCTGAAGCTTACAAGAATCTTTTTAAATTTACAAAAGAGAAATAGATTTTAGACATGTTAAGTGCTAGTTTTTATTGAAGTCCACAATATAGAAAAAGGTAGTAGATACCATCTTTACTTCATAGTAGTAGCTTGGTAAACAATTGTTTTGTTAAAAATATTCCTTAAGGTGAGCTCAGGGAAGACAGAACTCTTCTGTGGAGCAGAAGGGACAAAAGGGGCTTTTTCCCTCAATCCTGAAGACTGTGTGTACATGGTGAAAAGCATATGACAGTCTCTATTTAAGAGACAAACCAAGGAAACTTATAATTTTGACTTTGTGACTATGATAGCTGGACATGTATTGGAATGTTTTACCAGAGTTTGGCTAATAACTTCTCAGAATTCCATTGATTAATGCTAGAACTGTGAATATTCAAAGTCCTAATATAACAGTAGTATGGCCAGCAGAAGAAAGTTGAAACATTTTTGTACCTTAAATCTTTTTCGTATCACCACACATGTATTTTTACATCCTATAACCTTCATACATTGCAATTCCCGAGGTCAAAACGCTGTCCTAGACCCTCAAAGATTTTCTTCCTATACAATTATTTACCATGAGACACACAGGTGGTTGGTCATTGAGAGCAGTCACTACAAAAATGAGTTCTTTGAACCACCAACCAAAAATCGAGCAAGGGGTAGACCTAAGCTCCTTGCATATATATAACATATCTGCAGCTTGGTCTTTGTGCAAGTCCCCCAACAACTGGAGCAAGAGCTGTCGCTTTCCCCTAATCCATTGCCTGCCTGTGGATCCCCTTCCCCTAACTGGACGACCTTGTCTGACTTCAGCTGGAGAGAATGCACCTTGTATTGTACTGACTTGAGGTACTGGGGGTGGGTTTTATTGGGGATGAGAATGGAGGAATGGGGGACACATCTGTATGCTGGCATACTGTGACAAGAGGAGATGATATTTGAATATAAAACAAATAAGTAAATTACTTAATTAAAATACTGATCTCAAAAATGAAACAAAACCAATCAAAATATTGTGTTTATTTTACTTGTTGCAGAGCATGTGCTCTTTACATTTTTGAGAAGAAGCAAAGATTCTAATTCTATACTTATATTTGGACTTATTTAGTTAATGAGAATGGCAGATGGTAAAGATCCTAAGGCAGAAAAACTAACAATATTAATAATGTACTCTTCGTATAAATGACAATTTCTTCCCCACTACCCAAGAAGCACATGTTCGAATGATCTAGTATCCTGTAACATATTACAACTTGGACTCTTTTCTTATCCGTTTTCAAACTGATAATTTTCTACAAACCTAGAAAATGAATTTGCATGTCCTATTAATTCCATGAATAAATATAAAATATCTCCAACTAATAGACTTTGTAGTAAAAGCAGCAACATTTTGGAAAACAAGAAACTTCAAGTCACCCGGTCAGTGGAGGAAGAATGGAAAGAGTCATTGTCTCCTCCTCCCATTAGATCTCAAATGAGGTCACAGTAGTGAGAATAATGACTCTGACCTGATGTTGGATGGGAACTGCCAGTGCCCTAGACTGGGTGCCAGTCAGAGCAGAGGTACCATCTGCTGGGTGATCCTGGTCTAGGTCCTCTTTGTCTGACCTCTCAAAGCATCTACATACCTGAAGCTCAGGGATTACTCCCAGTTATGTTGGCAAAAAGTTCCAAGATTTTCATTTTGGTCATTTGGATATGGGTCCTTGTGCCCCACAGAAACTCGTGGCTAGGAGGATCACTGTCAGGTGTGTGGGTGTATGCCAGGTACCCTTCCTGCTGCACAAAATGCCCAGTAATGAGATTCTTGGGTCCTCCACATGGAAAGTTCCCTCTGGAAATACAGCCCAGGATAGGACACTGTGCAAGTCACAGGGAGACAGACTCCCAGGCCTGTACCTCCAGGAGCTGTCAAAAGTGCCTGTTCCAGGATTACGCTTCGGTATTACTCCAGGGTCAAAGGACTCTGGTGCTGCATGGGCCCCCATAGAAAGAGACATGACTCTTTGATGGAAATTCTTCTTACCTGTGGCAAAGTCTCAGAAGAAGTCTCTCTGTCTTGAGGTGTAACAGAAGGCAGTGAAGGATCCTCACAGTCCCTTCCACCTGCTCTGGAGCAATGGCAAGAGCAGTCCACTTCAATGTGGCCCATAAGTCCAAGGATTTGAGACCAGACTTGTCCTCACCCTGAGACATGGCAAGGTCCAAGACGTTTCTAGTCATTGCTGTGTTGCTCACCTTCGTCAAGGCAAATTCCAATTCTGGGAGACGGAAGGAAGGGGAGGGGAAGGGAATCCACTTAAAGTATCTATGAATTCCCACAGCCAGTAGGAGTGCAGGGAGATGTCTCGAATCCTGACTTTAGCCAATGAATCTTGCCCAGTTCTCACCTTGAGTCTTGACACACCTGATCTTTCCTCAGATGACCTGTGTTAAGGTGTTTTTAACAACCCTCCTGACCTAAGGCCTGAGAGCAAGGAAGGGGGGCTCAGACTGAAATCCCTGCCCAGGGCTGTTTGAGTGACACGGCTCCTGGGAAAAAATATTGTGAGTTCCCAGCCTGTACACTGGGCTGAAGTTTCTTTTTCAGTTCCTGGAGATCTCACTGGGCCTTGTTCTGGTTGGGAAACTGTGTGCCTCACTGAAATTTCCAGCTTAGATCAAGTTCCTTGTCTCCCTGAGATCCAGAACCCTCCCAAGAGAAGTGAGCTGGTACTGTATCCCAGCTACCCTTGTGTGGGATCTCCAGTGATGCCCACACGACCTAGAATCATCTCTTCTAAGACAGGGTTTCCCTAAGGTCATCTGACATGCATTCATCTTACCTGTCCTTCCTGACACTTTCCTTTTCCACTAGACCTCATTTGCCCAAAGACTCCTCCCTTCTATCCTGAGGTACCTTGGGTAAGAAAGGCACTTATTGCCTGAGAGTGTGT